CTGCACGATAGCCATAAATGAGTCAAAAAGCTATTAGTCTACACTTTTGATGCCCAACATAAAATATCCTATATCAAACATGAATGTCTAACGAATAACCTTTATTGGTAACAAAAAACCCAGACTATTTGTGATTATTTTTCTGAAATAGGTGAATTCATATCTCTCCCACTCCATTCTCGTTTTTTATTGAGAGGTGTAGCTGTGAGTGTTGTATAGAACTTCCCAGAGACACAAATTTTTGTATATTATACAAAAAACACAGTCAAACTCTTATTTATGTATGCATAGGGCTTAAACACAAACCTGAAATTGGATGGTTTAGAAGGTGGTTAGGAGTACCAAAAAAATGACAAAAAAATAAGATTCAGAAACAACAAAAAAGAAGAATATTTAACAGTTAGCTCATCAACACCATAAAATCCCACTATCCATCAAAACCATTCAATACAGCTATAAATGAAAACATCAGACATCTGACTATTTTACAAATCAAACATATGTGTTTAAAGAATTATAATCGTTCAAACTAAAAAAAAAACAAAGAACATGTAATAAGAAAATCGAACCCAATACATATACATATAGGCAGATATATATATATATATATATAATATATATATATATATATATATATATATATATATATATATATATATATACCCACGAAACTGACACATATACACAAAAATACACACTCATAAACACTTAGCTTCCAAAAAATCGTAAGGAACTTTACCTCTACAGATGCATTCCCGAAGCAGCGTGGTTCATCAAACTTTGTCTTCCTCTTCTACAAACGATTTTGTGAGTCTTGGTTTCTGCAGATCCAAAAAACAATTTTGAAAAAAATAACAATCATTCCTCCGTACATGTAAACCTTAAGAATCAAAACTCCTTCAAAATCCAAAATCTACAAAATACTTATGATTGGACTTAATACTAAAAATCATCCAACAACTAACTAAGAAGAGGACACAACGGGTAGATGTTGTTTGATGGTGGTCACCACAATGAAGTTGATGATTGTGGTTGCAGATGAAATCTGACATGCTTCCCATATTTCTTCATATCACATGAAATTTGAGACACAAAAGCATATATAGATAGAGGGAGAGATTACCCTGTAACTTAATAAAACATCTCTGATCTTGGCAAGGAGAGGAGGAAAAATCGGAAGAAGAAGATCGTCGACTGCACAGACGATCCTCGAGGGCGGCAAAAAAGAACCGGTGGGCGAAGCAGACGACACGCATGGAAGGGTAAAGGAGATGACATAGCTATTCTAGAGCCGACAACGATGGAGGATAATATTATATGGTGGCCGGCGGCGATGGTGGTTCTGATAGAGGCTTAGGGAATAGATGAAATTAGGTTAAATATAATGGGGATAAAATGTGTTGAAAAGAGAGGAAGCGTATGTTTAGATGGTTGGGAGTAACAAAGGGACACCAAATATTACTTCTATCGAGGTTTTTCAAAAAAAAAATTCAATTGCCTGAGGTTTTTCAAAAAAAATTGAATTTCCCGCCCACATATAGTAAATGGATAACAACTATTAAAGATTCATAGAAATGGGAGACGGAGTATGGGTGGCACGCGATAAGGTTATGCATATATGGGTTTGTATTATTTTAAGAATTGTAAGCTTGAAAAATGTTTGTAAATTATGGGTTGCATTGTGATTGGTTCTAAGGTTACCACAAGGATCACTATCATAACCATTCAAATGAAATCCAAAGGCTAAAAATTCATATGTATTATCTATGTATTATAAAGTAGTAGATATATCGATATATATATATATATATCTATATATATATATATATATAATATATATCATATATATATATTAATCTAAATATTATAAAGTATAAGGTTGCATTTTAAAACCTGTAAAATTCTAAGGTTTGAAATTTAAATAGTTCACAATTAAACATTTTAATCACCCAATAATTTAAATTTCAAAACGAGGAAAAGTTTTGAACTTTTCAAACACCCAAAGGCTCAATGGGAAAATAATTTAAAATTAACAATTAATTTAATGATTATCTAAATTTGACCTAATCAAGATTATTTATAAGATTAATTCACCAAATAAATTAAAATAATTAAAGATTATCATATAATGAATTTATTATTCAAAATAAATGGTAATTCTCTTTTAATTTGGTAAGATAGTCATAACATATATATAAAAATTGGGATTTTATTATTCAAAAAACAATTTTGGTAATTATCCAAACACAAAATTAGTCAAAATCCGAGTTTTGAGCCATCTGATCCACAGACTCGTCGAGTAGCCTACTGCACTCGTCGAGTCTGTCAGACAGACTCGACGCACGTCGTGAACTCAGTGAGTCACGTCGTGAGCTGGGTATTTTTAAGAAAACGATTTTCATATCAAGCAATGAACGAACATATGAGCATCAAATACAATTGAAACCAATCAAAGCTCTGATACACTGATGGGTTTGAGCCAAAAAGAAACATCCTATGTGCTCATGCAAACCTAATGTTTGGATCTACGTTTCTCTAATTGTACATGCATTCATCCAAGACTTTCAAACCCTAGATCTAATGAGAGTAATTTGAAATTATAAGAAACAAATCAGATCTAGATCATTACCTCTTGTTATTTGCTTGAATATTCTTGTTTGAAGCTTAGGTCACAAGTGTCACTCCTAATGGTTACAAACACCCAATAGCAAAAGAATGATCTTGGAGAGAGGTTGGAGGCTTCTTGAAATCGGCTCTATCACTCTTAGGGTTAGGTTAGCCGATTTCTGTAGCCTAGGGGTCCTATTTATACTAGAGTTGCTAGTGTTTCAGTCAAAAACCCTAACGGACTGCTTAGGCCTTAAGCTATCCAAGGAAGCTTCTGGAATAGGGCCTTAGGGCCGAAATTAGAGATGGACACCTCCTAATTTCGTCCATGCCTAGTCCAAGAGGATCCTTAGCCCAATTCTTTAACTATTACACATTTGACAGTTTAAGTCCCTGATATTAAATTAATATCTTTTTATCACAAAATTAATTTTAATAATTCTTGTCCAATATTAATTTTTAATTATATGATTTATCCATTAATATATTATTCATATCACATTAAATAAATCATGAAACCTCTTTTTCACAATCATCCTATCATGTTGCTTTGGTGAAAGCAACCCAAAAGGACCGTGCACAACCGGGTCAAGTACTTACCAAATATAGTTACGGGCTTAGACACTAATCCAACAGAACCTTCCCTGGAAAGGTTCTGGCCAGATTGGGAGGCACTTTATGCAGAGACGTGAATTTTCACGTCTGATTTCCTCAATCTCTTCCGATCCTGGTTTTGTGGTGGTGATACCCAATGATGACGTTTAACAATCTGAGGGTTGTCAAGGGGAAACTAAGCAGCCCGTCATGCTGGTGACTATTTTGTCTGGGTTCGTTCTACAACCTGGTCATCAGGCGGTGGGGAAAAGGTTTCATACCATGAGTCTGTTCCTATGGAAGACTCACATGGGCTTACTGGCCCTGGTGCACCTCCGTTTGTCCCGGGATGGAATCTATGTACTGACTCCCGACTATCTGTTCATGCAAATGCCCTAGAGTTCGAATGTCATGCACTTCCTCCGACGACCGCGAGTGATATGGACTCCATGGGTGGCTCTTCTCTCTCTCTCTCTCTCTCTCTCTCTCTCTCCCTCCCTCTCTCTCAAAACATGGCTTACGCCGTTGCGCAGGCTATGTGTTACTTGATTGCTGGCACCCGGCGGGTTCAACAGTTTGATGATGTTGAGCGAGCACATTCCGATCTTGTGGCCAGCGAGCACTACAAGAAAAATACCCTTTTACGTCGTGCAAACCACGACACTCATTGATTTATGTTACGCAAAAGAGAGTGACATTAAAAAAGTGTCATCTCTTCAAAAAGTTTAAGGATTTAGGTCACGCATTATTGCGTGCCCTTAAATTAGTGTCTCGTGTAAAAAAAATTAAAAACACGGAGGGCACTTTATCTAAAATGTGCGTCCTCTCTTAGTGTCTCTTTATAATTTTTACTCAAAACGCGCGTTTCTTAAAAGGGGGAAACGAAATTCTCTTAAAATTCTAAAATTTTTAAATACCCTGCTTCAAGATCTCCGTCGTTATCTTCTTCCCTTCTCTCTGCAAACCCTAATCACGATACCATCTCTGCTATACACCTCGACAACTCATATAACCATTCTACAATTTTTTTCATAAAAACTCTCGTTCATTCCGGTCAGATTTCCCGTTTGAAGGTGAACGGTGACCACGAACGCACCATCCCGGTCATTACTTCGCGATCCGCTATTTACCCTCGATGTCTCCACCGCTTACTTCCTCCTCCACCTTCTCTCTTCAATCTCTGTTAATGTCGGCAACCACTAGACGAATGTCACGGTCATTGTTTCTTCTACACGTCTTTTCTCCTACACACAAATAAGCCGATGTTCATTGACCGGTGGTGCCCAACAAAATCCCTAACTGTCTCGTTTGCTCGTTAAATGTATGGAATTTTGCACGGTTTGTCTTTATTTGTTATATGGTGATGGCTATTCCAAGAACGTTGCTTCTTTCATCGCCTCTCATCACCTTAACAGATTCAAAGTCAAAGGTATCTTTACTACTCATTCTTCATCTCTTTATCTTCGTCTCCTTCTTTTAATCGTTAAGCTACTTACCCTCGATCCGTGTTTGACAAGATTACTAAACTAAAGGAAATAGACATTAGATATTAGGTATTCGATTTTGCTTCTGTTTTGCATTTTTTTTGCGGATTTCGCTTCAGGCCCGGATTCCATAAACATGCTGTCACCAGCATGACGTCTAATTGATCAAAAACCCTGTTTGATATGGGATTCAACAACTTCTCAATATCCTTCTTGTTTAATGTATAATTCTTGAGCGCAGCCAAGATCTCATCTACAACACCACTAATAATATTCAAAGGCTGACTATCCAATAGTATTTTTGGCCCTGGTGATATGTTGCTTGTTCCATCTTTAGTTGCTGCAGCAAGGGCAGGGAAATCAAAGGTAATTTGAAATTCGGCTATAAGTTTAATGAATCTTTATTTAATTGGAATTGATTTTAATTTTTACATTTTGTGGTTGATTTTTGGATCACCAGTTTATTATAGGGGATGGAACAAACATGTATGATTTCACTTATGTTGAGAATGTTGCACATGCTCATGTATGTGCTGAAAGAGCTCTAGCTTCAGATGGATCTGCATCAAAGAGAGCTGCAGGAGAGGTAATTTAAATGAACCTTTTCAATTTTACTTGAGATAATATATGAAGTTTTTTATTATTTTTTAATTTTTCAGGCTTACTTTATAACGAATACGGAACCAATACAATTTGGGGAGTTCATGTCACTTATTCTTGTAGGGCTTGGGTATAAAAGGTATATTCTTCATCTTGGTTTGTTTTCGTGGAACGTACTTACTCTGTTAAATCCAACATCTGCCTCAACACCACCACGTACATGTGTCATCCTCTTTTAATTAACCACCCTACAATCACCGAAATTAGATCGAACCAGTGGATTTGAATCATATCTTAATAGGGAAGGAAATTGAATCAGATCTTAATTAATAGTTGTCACACCCCAAAACCGGAACGGCGGAAACGTTCTGGGGTGGAGGACGTCATGTCAAGTATCACAAACATGCCGTATAGTAATCAAAGTAACAACAACCATTGCCTTAATTAGTATAAGTTTTACATAGGTTACATTTAGCAACAACATCAAAGTAGATATAGAAAATAACATAAGATGCAGCTCGGTACAAGGCTGTCTTCGCAAAAGCTCCCGTAGTGTACCTGTCTACTGACGACCTGAGAATACAAGTTATTTTGAAAGAGAGTATCAGCATTTTACTTGCTGGTGTGAGTCCATAAGTATTTTAATGACATTGATGTAAATACATGTTTTTCTTCAAAATAATCTCATTAGGTGATGGTGATAAGAGTTTATAAGGTATTTCAGTTCTTTCCAGAAAATCCTATATTTTCTAACAAAAGCAGTCTTCTATCAAGACCCGGCTGTTTTGAGTTTAGAGAAATGAGTTTAACTAATAAAACCAGTCTTCTACCAAGACCCGACTATTTTGTGTTTAAGAGCATTTTTCCCAAATGTTACTATCATTATCAAAATATAGTTTTACATTAATGAGTATGTGAGAAGATCAACAATTAAATGTAGTAGGGAAGCTTAATGCTTTACTTCAGCAAGACATTGCTGTTATAAGGTAAAAATGCAGGACTCCAGGTAGTATTTGATGAACTATACACCTCAGGGAGTCTAAAGTAGTAAAATACAGACTTCAGGTAGTATTAAATGAACAATACACCTCGGGGAGTCTAAAGTAGTAAAATACAGACTCCAGGTAGTATTAAATGAACAATACACATCGGGGAGTCTAAAGTAGTAAAATACAGACTCCAGGTAGTATTAAATGAACAATACACCTCGGGAGTCTAAAGTAGTAAAATACAGACTCCAGGTAGTATTAAATGAACAATACACCTCGGGGAGTCTAAAGTAGTCTTTAGTCCTAATTCGGTTAATTTAAAGGTTCAAATGGGAACTAGTACATAATTAGGAAAATATATTAGGATAGTTTTGTGTATAAATAGAAACTACCGTAGTACTAATTACCTTAAAGCCATGAATTATAAGGTAAATGTAAAGATACTCGTAAACCATACTGATTGACGGATGTAAACACGACGGCCTGCTGGCGTCGAAAATAGATGTGACATTTGTCACCCCTTGGCTTGGTCGGCCGGGACTATAGCTAGCAGTCAGGATGTGGGATGGTCTATCCCGTATAGATCTATAAACACAATGCCCGCTCTCCCTCCAGGAGACTCTGGTTACCGCTCGACAACGGTGAAATCCGCGTCATGAGGATGTATCTCGTATTTTGATTTCTATATACCTTTCTTTTTACTAAAAGTATAAGTTTTTAGAATATTGATATAGCTAAGTTCTCCTTCATGAAAGTTATTGTTGGTTTCTAAACTATACCTATTATAGTTTACTTGAGAGTTATCTAGGTACCCTTGCTACCCAAAGGCGCTGAACTGGAAGTAATAGTTTAATCTCTAATAGATATACATAATATATAACTAGGATTTTAACGACACTCGGACAAATAACCGAATACTCTAGGTCCACAACCGAACAAGGAACATGAAATAAAGCGAGTTATCAGTCCTAAGTCCTTCAAATCCACTTATATAAATAATCTTACATACATGAATCTAATAAGAATATAAGTTTAAAAGACTTTGAGAAAAGTTTAGTATTTAAAAAGAGATTTTAGTATTTTCAAAAGAGATTTGAAAAACAAGATTTGAAAACCTTTAGCTGGATAAAACAGTTTAACATGCAAAAATCTATTTGCTTGACAGTTATTAATCACATGTGATTGATATAATAACTTAGTAATTCAACTTGTATTCCCCCCCCCCCCATAAAAGCATTTAAAATAATTTCAAAGGTTGATTAAGGGGTATGAACTCACCTGTAGTGGGTGATTCGGATGAACGGATGGTATAGGATGCTAAGTGTCAAGTGAGGACTTGAACACACACGCGGATCCTATTTAGCATATAATGACACATATATGCATCTAATTAGTCCTTTAACAACTATTAATTAAGTTAAGACACCCTAATACATGGATAACACTTTATTCAAGGTTAGGAGTGCTAACGGGTTGTATCTAAAGAGAGTATGGCCTCACATTGGAGTTACTTCCCATTTGGTAACAACACATGAGTTTACGGCCCATGGGTCATTACCCCCATGAGTTTACGGCAGTAAACTCATGGTAATTGTTACATTGTGTAATTTAAGGTCTTATACCCCTCAAGGAAGTGTTCTAGGTTTGTATCAAAGGCTTAGGAAGGACTAGGGCTCAAAATGGCCCTTCATTGGGGTTTACGGTTCTTGGACCACTCCTTGGAGTTTACGGTCGTAAACCCTTGAGTTTACGGTCATACAACCCATGAGTTTACGGCCGTACAACACATGGTCACTCCTACCATTTCGTGATTTGGGGTCTTTAGCTCATGCATGCAAGGTTCTAGCCCAATATTCAAGCCCTAGAAGGTGTGGGGGGCACTTAAACACCACTTGATGGTGTTTATGTTCAAGGAGATCCCTTGACCGTAAACCCATGTGTTCTTGGGGATTTTTGATTGTTTTTCCAATGGTTTAGCAAGTATACTAAGCAAACAACTAGATCGGAGCGTTGTATGTACTTACTTATAGGAAGCTTGTAAGAGTGTTTTAGGCCAACCAAAATAGTGTGGTTCTTGGTGTTCTTGAAAAACACTTGAAGATCTAAGAAAAGAGGAGATTCATGGATGAAATCGTGTATGGATGAAAATCGTGTATAAACACTAGATAAAGAGTTATATCAACAAATCTAGGGAAAAAAACACTTACATTTTTGGAAGCTTGGAGGAATGTGTTTATGATTACTTGAGAGAGAATTGTGGGTGTTCTTGAGCTAGGAAGTCAAAAATGAGCCAAAAATGACTAAGTGTCATATTTATACTCTTTAAAGTTTACGGCCGTAAACTCCATGTTTGGGGCCGTAAACTCCAAATTCTTGGAGTTTTGAGACTTAAGTGATGCACGACAACCTCTAAAGTATACTTTCTATAATTATTTATCGAATTACTAGGCTTTTGAATACTCAAAATGACTCCAAACAGCTTAGAATTTAGCGAAAACAAATCTGACTTCTAATGGGGTGAATAGTTGTACCAGATAGAAATTTCGGGTTGTCACAATAGTATTTTTAAGATAATCACTATTCAACTTTCAATCATTAAATGTTCTTATATTCCAGGTGTTGCTTGGGATTTCTGGAGTAATGCTTTTCGTGCTATCTGTTATCCCTTTTCTTGTTTTGGCTGTAAGTTTCATCATTTCCATGTTATATATAAGTTCCATTTTCGGAAAATATAAAGAAAGAGGTACAATTTTTTTCTTATTCTCACCTGCAATTTCATCTGGTGTTGATTTAATATCTTAATCACAACAGTTTATGAGGTTAACGAAACCATTAAACAAAATAAGAAAACCTAATAATGATGGTCACCCTTGTGAGATGGGAATAGTTGCAGTGTCAAGAACTGGCGAGGTCTTAGGAAGTCAAACTGTTTTAAAAAGTGATCATTGTCCAGGCTGTCAACAACCGATGTGGTTCAGAACTCACTGGAGGTATTCAGATCTTTAGAGACAGATGGGGTGGAATGTCGAGAAGCTTCAGATTCGGTGATTGATAGATGTTCAGCATTGCAAAATATATGCCATAAGATTCAGACACGGACGCTTCTTTAGTGTACCTGTAAGTAAGGCTGTAAATATTTTATTTTCATAAAATATTTATTTTTCTCACTCTCACATGTATGTGTTTTGTTTTGTAGGAAGAGTTGAGAGCTCCACAAGAATCTCAACATGGTGATGCGGTAATGGAGGCGATTGTTAAAAAACGTAACGACTCTGTGTTAGGGAAGGGGTCAATACAACACTACAGTTGTGTGTATGTAAATTGTAATTAATGTTTGTATATGAAATGGTATTTTAGTCATTTACTAAAAAAGGTATGTTATGTTTTGTTGTAAAAGAAACAGCTCAGGCACTGGCGGAACAGGTTACACAGGAGCATTTTTACGATGGACTGATATACCCTCCGTTCACCAACATCCGTAAGATTTCCGCTGATATTGCTGCCAGCGTGGCAGCCAAAGCATATGAACTTGGTGAGAGACCTTTTATTGTTTGTGATATATGAGTATATATATATATATATATATATATATATATATATATATACACACACACACACACGCTGTTAAAGTTAAACAAAGCACATGAAAGTAAGTAAACTAAGCACATGCGTGTTCCTAGAAAAACTAATTTTCAGATTTCTAGAAGTGAACAAGACTGAGACGTCAACCACTCAAACATATGGTTCACTTTTAAACAATCTGACATTTATCAAGACATTTGCTTCTGGTGTTTTAGTTCCTAAATCATACATATGGCCTGTGGATAATGACTTCTATTTACAACCGTCTACCTCATTAGTCTTGGATGCCCACAAAGAGGGTTTACAAGTATTTGGTTCAGATTTCATGAATGATGTGCAAGTTGCGTATAATTATAGTTATGACCCTGTAGAAGAGTATCTATATTTTGTGGATAATGGCAGATTCTATGTGGATGGTGTGCTTTCCGACAATCCAGTGACTCCATCAGCAACTTTTAGTAACTTTTGAACCCTTTAAATATCATGATATGATTCTGCATATATTGAAAAAGGTTGAATGCAAGAAATAACATTCTATTTTCATAAGCTAATATTTCTACAACCATGCGGGTTGTTTTTCTTATATTAGGAAAAAGCATTCTCAGCCAGGTGTGTCATTTTATACACAATCATTTGACATTTATATATGTTCATCATAAATCATAAATTAAATCCCTTGTTGCTTCAGGAAAAGGAAAGCCTTTAATTATCTCATTTGAAGGAGCAAGTGGGGAGTTTCCAAGGTGTAGTGATTCAGCATATAGAAAAGCTGTTTCAGATGGAGCAGATATAATCGATTGTCCTATTCAGATGACAAGTGATGGAGTAGATATTTGGCAACCTTTCATCCAGTGTTCCTGAGCTTCAACCTGGAAATGGAATATATACATTCAGCCTCACATGGAGCCAGACTAAGAGCTTAAGACGTAAGTATTTTATTAGTGTCTTTTCACCAATCTTGTCCCAATGGTGACCATTAAAGCACCTCTGCATTCATAGTTGATCTGTTGTGAACCAAGAGTTGTTGTGGAAAGAGAAGTGCTTTAGAAGAATTGTCACTTTGAACTAGAAACTCATCCCTTGCTCCACTTCCTGAATGCAACGTTCCATATTTTCCATTCAAATTCTTTGCAAGAACAATATACCTAGTCATCTGGTAGCTGGCAGGGATGAAATGAGTGCTTTGGAATCTTCTTAACCCGATCAAGTAATGGCAAATAGCAACACACTTCCCTTTTTATTATTCATTATAGCATTACACTTTCATTTCTTCTTATTATAATATGAAAATTCACTCAATTATAAGTACAATGTTGTAAAGATTGATTTAGAAGTGAGATGCTATAATAAGCAATTGAAGCTATATATATATATATATATATATATATATATATATATATATATATATATATATATATATATATATGCTTTTCATCAACATAATTGCTTCTTCTTTGTATGGCTAGTTCTCTTCTGTTGACCATGGAGTAAGCAAGCTGTCTCTTCTGTCAAATGTTAGAATCGCGAATTACAATCAAGACTTGTGATTAGTTGTATGTGTTGGACAGTAGATTATTTTACATTTTTTGCAATAGGTGTGAGCAGTGACTGTGAGTTTCATTCAAAAGGATCCAGAGGAGAAGAAAACATCATTCAACCCCAGACCGTATTTCAAGTTATTCATTGATTGGCTGCTTGACCTTAGTACCATTGATCCGGATTTTGAAGATGCAAACTTCCAGGTGTGTATTCACTTTTCTCTTTTCTCTATCATATCATCGTGTATTGTATTGCATGTTAAGTTACCGATTTTCGCTGTGCAGGTTCTGACAGCTCTAGCAACCTCCGTCCATGTCCTGCTGCCTCTCAAAGTTCCTGCATTTAGGTTATTCTCTTAGAAAGGAAATTGTCAAAGGAGATTGTCAAATGAGAATTTAGTCATGGGTTTCTTTAAATGTTGTACATGTTTTGTTTTCTATAATAAATATTATGCAATATTAGCAATGTGTTATATTTACTTACTATTGGAATGCTTATTTGTATTTGACATATTAATGCACTGAATTATCTTTATTGTTTATGGTATTTTATTTTGTATTATGAGACTTTTAATGTGTTATTTAATTTGAAAATTAGTAAATCTATCAAAAATATAATTTTAAAAAACATTTAAAATTATGACACGCAATAATGTGTGTCGTCTTCCTTTATGACATGGGCTTCCTTGATACACATTGCGTGTCATAAACACGCACGTCGTAAGGTTACGACACGCAAATGCGTGTTCGCTTACTTTATGACAAGGCCTTCATTGATACGCATTGCGTGTCATAACTTCGCCTCGTAAATGCGCGCCGTAAATAGACGACGCGCAAAAGCGTGTAGTCTCTCGTTATGACAGGGCCTTCCTTGACACGCATTTGTGCGTCGTCTGAGCGTTTTACGACACAAATTGCACGTCGTAAAAGGCTATTTTTCTAGTAGTGGAGGTTGACTTGAAGTGTCGGGTTGTGGAGTTGGAGAGGGTTGTCCAGGGTTTTGACCAGATGTATGACTTGCTTTTCGCTAAAAAAGTGTCTGTGGAGGAGGTACGATCGTCGCTAGAAGCTCGGGTTGATTCTGTTGGGTTTTGAGCACTATAACACTCCTATGGTGCACATGCAACCCTAAATGCTTTCGATCTATGTTTTTCTAAATATACATGCATTTTCAATTTTCCAAAGCATTCTCCTAACTAGCATTTAAATTGTCATATGAACAATACAACTAGTTAGATTACTTACCTCTTAGAAAGACTTGTAGTTCTTGACCTTTGAAAGCTTGAGCACCTCAAGTATGATGCCTCTAATGGTTCACAAACACCAATATGCAAGAGGAGGCTTGAGATAATAAGTTACTTAGCACAAAATCAATACACACTCTCCAAGAATGTTGTGGCTAATGGTGTAACCGATTTTCGCTATAGGGGGTTCTATTTATAGTGTGGCAAATGCTAGGGTTAAACTTTGCAAACCCTAATGACATTTCATATTACTTAGGTTCCATGGGTTAACCTCCATGGACTATCCATGGATTATCTCACTGGTTTAGACCATCCTAAATAACGATGGATCATTAGCCCACTATTAGAATGATTGATTTACACAATCAATCCCCATATATTTAATTAGTCTCTTTTGATCACAAAATTAATTCCAAATTAATTCTTGATCAATACTAATTAAATAATATGATTTCATATTAATATATTATACTTGTAATATATTAATAAATCATAGATAATCTTATTCTCAAAAGTCCATCCTATCAAATTGCACTGGTGAAGGCAACCCAAAAGGACCATGCTACAATCGGGCAAGACTCCCGGTTATAGTTATGGGCTTAGACACCAAATCCAACAGTCTCCCACTTGGATAAGTCTAATAACTATAGCTGTTAATGTGACTTCAGGATCCGACTTAGCAATCGTAAGCTTTCAAAAGCCGCTGTCGAACTCTAACCTAGTGAATGACGCATCCTTCAGATAAGGGATCATATATTCCTCTGTTCTCAAGATATCTATGCAGACAAATACATGGAACATAGTCATACTTATTGTCCTGCAATTTGTTTCCCGATTTCTGATTCGTCTGACATAGAACATAAATGAACACATCAATTTAGTCCTGATCGGGCTCGGCACATAGTCAAAACAGAATCAACGAGGGGCCCAAGATATCTCTTTTAATCCTCTTAGGATAAAAGGAACAGATAAACTTCGACATTATATGCTTGTACTAGCTACTCATCAAATCATGCACAACGACATGTTTTATAACATCAAGTTACTGATGCATTTTCATGCCATCAATGCACAACCAACTAGTCAAAAACTCATATATTTTGGTTTGAAGATTAGATGATATTATCGTCTCACAATTACTCGTGATAAATTCCATGAAGTAATTAGGTGAGTGCGGGTTGAATCCGATACTCAAATCTTATTTCAGGAGAACTCATCCGTGGTGTAGCAAACTTTTTCTATGTCTAACTCCTTAGACAATCTACAAGCCAAATCATGACTGTCTTCTTTCATACTTACTTCCAACGTATGATCGACCGTTGATAGTTTGAATAATTCTTATTAATCTGGAAGTCAAAACATGCAAAGTGAAACACAAGAATAATACTAATCCTATATGACCCCAAAACTTTTGAGTGTAAATAAAACACCTTTTATTTAATCACCATATCAATTACAAATTATTCATTATATATTGTTTCGATTTATCAACTTAATACTTGAATTAAAACAATAGTTATCCCATGCTCCAAGCATGCATACTATGTTTGCCTATGGTCCTTACTTTGTGAAATAGATCAATTGTAAACATTTCCAACGATACTCATTCTACAATTGCAAATGCTTATCGTAAGTGTAAGAATACCAAGTTCTTGCCACTTACTGTAATTTGTTAGATTCTAAACTTATATGCAGTGATCTTTTTGTAATGACTATGTACACAAGTCACAGAGACTTTGTCAATTAGAAAACTTTCCATTGGATATTGTTACAAGACAATTCCATAGATCCGATGTCTCATATTCAAAGCACATTCCTTTGAACATCCTTCTTGCATAAAGGTTTCTAACTTTCTCATAGATTCTTGATATCCAACTCCCATTATGGAAACATTTCCATATTTTCCATATGACAGCTCATTGTTAATAGAATCCTATCTACTTATAATAATGTCAATGTGGTCCATCCATTACTATACTTCCTACCATCCATAAGCAACCAATCTTTGGCGAACCTTGGATTGTTCTTAGCAGTTGTTTAACAACTTTAGTCATATCCAGTTCTAGTCCTTTTTCCCTCTTAATGCCCTAGGCATTTAATAAATTAGAACACATTAATATTATAGCATATGAAATCGATCGTATATCCGAATCATATAGGATACGATTCATAATGTCTTACATAAAGACATGATACTTGACTAGTCTTTTGCTAATAATATCTTCATATATAAAATTTCCAATGTTGAAGCATTTCAGCATGGTATTCATATAAACCCTTGATTAATTTGATTAAAATCTCAATCTAAACTTTTAGAATTGAAATGAAGTATAAGTTCCTCTCCCGTAATTATAGCAAAACAACTTTTCATCCATGTAACTTTGCGAATTAAAAACTTTGTTTTCTATAATTAACATTGCTAACTTGCAACAATTGCCATAATAATTATGCTCCCACTAGCATAACAATTATTTTGTTACTTGCATAACATTTATGCTCCCACTAGCTGTGACAGAAATCTTGAAATCAGCTGGACTTCTAAAAATCAGTACTTTATTGACTTTCTTACCAAAGTTTAGATTTCTGACATGAGATGCTTCGATAAGCCTTTATCTAAGCTTACACGCCTTTTATTAGAAAGATCATATGTGTGTCTAAATAATTTTAGAACTTACGACAATAAGTCTCAAATGTTTAGATCTTTTTCCATTTCTCACAATTCTAAATATGAAGAGGGATGTCGTAGTCATAATCGAATTTGAGAATGCAAATATCACAATTGCTAACTCTTTAAAATCTACTTAGTGAAAGCGTTTCCTCACAATCATTTTCATGAATTGGAGAGAAACCTTATGACACTTATATTTTTAATGGTGTATGTGTTCCTATTCATGTGAATATGTCATAACCATAATCTTAAGACAAGGTTAGTGACAAACCTAAACTCATATGGACTGAACTTGTTCAATCTTAATTTCTTGCCACCTAGCAGCACAAGGGCATGCCAATTGCTTCCAGGTTGTTATGCAAACAATTGAGCACCCATAGAACTCACATGCATAGTCAACTTTTACTGGAATGGGCACAGAAACAAGAATATGTCAACATGATAGGTTACAAACCTCAAGTCGTGTGCTACTGATTAACAATACGTTTACTCTTGATTAGTTCTTGAAACGTTTCAAGACTTTTAAAACTCCCACTAACCTCTTGACATATAAGATTCTCTCTGTCAAGAAACATTACTTGACAAACAAATATTCAAGAGTTAGTGCGATTTCTTACCAAGACAAACACTTCACACAATTGGTCTTAGTTGGTCTTTATTTTATCCAAAACATCACAACTTACCAATTTTAAATGTACAAGAGTAGAAAAAATTTTACTCTACATTTGCTGATATGTCACTCAATATACAATCTTGGAGTATGACTCTAAGGTTTGATTCTGGAACAAAGTATGATTCATCTTAATTGATTTAACCATTTCAACAATTCCCGATTCCTCTTCTTAGCCAAACAAGTGCACTAAGGTGTCCTTAGAGGATCAAATTGTGATATGGTTTTCATAATCATTAAGATCATCATAAAGCACGATACTCAAGTACTGTCCCATCTTTTCAGATTGGAGAAACATTTATCTTTCTGCCGACGTTTATTCTTCTTATTCATTCTACTATACATTGAGACTTTTCAATGACTCATAATTATACTTAATCTTGCAAGCATAACCATATTTACTAACTTTAGTAAACCATAACGAATAGTCTTATCGTTCTTTATGGTGGACCTGACCAGGGCACAACCAAGTATACCCAATCCCCTAGTCCTTCACTTGACTCACATATACATGTGAACAAGGAATTAGTCTTAATTTCCCAAATATGAAGGTTCTCATTCACCATACAATACAAGTTGCATGATTCCAGGTTTCTATCCAATTGAAAACTTGGGTGATGAGAATCTTTCCTTATTTGGTAAATTTAGACACTACTACAAACGAAAGAATCAAATCCATTTTGCTAAAAATATAAAACATCAATATTCCACAAATGCCATTGTAAGGAGATATAAGATAAGATAAAATAAAAAAAAATATTTATTTATAAAATGAGGAAAAACTTTTCCTTATAATGCAATTACAAATGAAACTATGTTACTAC